GAGAGAGAGAGAGAGACAGACAGACAGACAGAGAGACAGACAGACAGAGAGAGAGAGAATGTTTTACGGAGCGGGTTGTTTGAGCACGGGAGACATATTTTTTGTAAATTTACTAATGTCCTGTCTTGTTGTGGTTTGCATTGGTGCACCTAAGCTTTGTAACATCTACTGCCATTGTAAACGACCAAGACAAATTTCTCCCTGCGAGATAAATAGATATTCATTGTCATTGTCATAGTCGTTGTGATTGGCATGATGAAGAGAGGCAGCGGGTTGGGGTTGGGGGAGATATAGTAGACGATCAAGGCAGGACCAGGTAATGAGATCGTCGTAACAGGTGAGTTGTTTTTCATGTACCTTGACGGGCTTGTTGTATGGATACAGAGGGAGCGAAATTGTAAAAACGGGGTTGATGGGGAAGGGGGGGGGGTTACTTGTAAAGCTGCAATATTATGTTTCATGCTTACGTCGACGCAGTTTAGAACATTTCCGGAACATATAGGATCTAATTGTATTGCAAGTGCAGTGAAACACTTACTAAACCAAGAATATTATTTAGGAAGTGAAATGCATCAGCCCAGTCTGTGAGGGCCATTTTTTATCTTAAAAATGAGTTGTTCCCCTGTTTCAATTGTCCACTTCAATTGTGGCTTTACAAAGTCCTAGAATCTTCTACAGACTTCAACAAAAGTTAAGGACCACCTTGACAGACAGTCCTAATTTTTAAAAATATCCGAAAAAAAAGACAGCAAGTAATGTTTCAAAATTTTAGCTCTGAAAGTGTCAATGGGTTATCAACGTGTACTGCAAAGCCTCTTAAAGGACCAAAACCACCACGTGTAGCACAGAAATCCTCGGGAAATTTTAGCCAAATTTGCTGTTTTCTATCGACTAGTGTGCGACACCAAGGACTTTCTTCTTTTAAAATTTCTGGTGCACGTCATAAACAGACGTAAGGTCTCGAACTGTGCTCACTTGGGTTGCAATATAAGCCACCGTTTGCACAAAATCCGGTATCGCATCAACATACCACCAAGACGAAAGCTGAGAGACTTTGATCGTGCCAGAGCTGTGGCTGGGCTGGATGATGGAGTTTGAGCCCGAGAAGTTGCCAGAAGGCTTGCACTGTCATACTCTGTTATTGTCCGCCTGAGGCAGCGCCATCAAGCGACTGGATCAGTCAAAAAACACCCACATGCAGGTCGACCAAAGAAGACCGCTCAGAGTGTTTGCAAGTGGTCCCTAACTGTTGAAGTCTGTATGTTCAGAAGCAACGAACGACCCTGTCACCACAGAAGCTGATACCTTTATGGTAATCAGTGGGAAAGTAAAGTATTAAGATATACCCCCTCCGACACCCTATCCACTAACACACTCACACACACACACACACACACACACACACACACACACACACAATGTCTTTGTAATATTATCTTGGAGCTCACATTGGCCATCAAAGTCAGCTGTCTCATAATTCTGTCAGATACAGCACCCCATATTCATATAATATGGTGCAGACACCTGGACGTCGACAAGGAAAGAAAAAAATTAAATAAATACGTTTGAGATGTGCTGCTACCGTAGAATGGCCAGAATAAGTTGGAAAACAAAAAAGACAAACAAAGAGGTGTGTCAGATTCTACACACAGAACAAACCCTGCTGAGCAAAATATATTAAAGCAGAGACATACAATACTACGGCCATTTAATCTAAAAGACACGAGACCATTACGAAAGAGGTGCTTGAAGGAAAGATGATTGGCAGGAGAGCCAGAGGAAAGCAAAGAATAACATGGATGGACAACATAAGAACATGGACTGACTGAATGTGCAACGGTTGCTCGTGACCGTGAAGGATGGAGCATCATTACTCGTCAACCTTTGAGCAAGAGATGACACCTCCAGGTATGGGGGCTGTCGTGGCCTAGAGGTTAAGGTATTCTCCTCTCATTCAAAGGTCCCGGGTTCGAATCCGGGTAGTGACGGGAAAAATTTCTCTAAAATTATCTCCTTTCACCTTCTCTCCTGCTCCCTACCAATGTTCTATCGTATGCTTTCGTCTTCACTTTCTGCCCCCACCCCTTCACCTCCTTTTGCCCCCTCCTCTGGGCTCCTGACTCTTTTTGCAGCCGTTCTATTGCTACTCCTCGGATCCTTCTTACTGCTCTCATTCACAACACGCCTGATCTTCTGGTAGGAATGATCTACACCTAGCCTTCTCGGACAAGGACGAAAAGTTTCGGAGGTCTCGTGTGCAAGTTGCACACGTTAAAGATCCTTGGGGGTCTAAAATCGATCTGAGTAAGCTTCGGCCACCACCCGCGCAAAATTCAAAATTTCCTACCAACTAAAGACGTTTAATGTGTCCGGCGCGCTCGTATGACCTTATGTAGTTGCGAACACCGTAAAACACATTACACAACCCCCCACCAAAAAAAAACAACCAACAACAACACAACCC